AAAATTAACTCTTGTATGAGGATCTATGGTATATAAGGAGAAGAGACACTATTTTTGACCATCATGAGGAAATGATGGGTAGTTTCCAGTCAGATGATAAGACAGCATAATTAAAACTGATTAAAATTTTGTAGTTCAATTATAATCTCACTTGTTCCTTTGTCTGCGCGCAGGGTGTGCATGTCCTTGTATTGTCAATAAAAGGTTCTTGTTGGCTTTGCTATAGATACAGAGTTTTTCACCACTCACAGGTGAAACTCTTTCTCCATAAAGCAAAAATATAGAATTTGTACTTTCATGTAAACTTTTTGTTGAGCTTGGTCTACAGTTTATCTTTTTTTTTTTTCCAAATGTAAGCTTTGAACTCACCGTTTTCTGCATTTTATTTTTTTTATGCTTGGAAAATGTGTCCTAATAAGGGCTTGTTATCATAGGTATGCTTCTTTCCATGAGGAAAACTTTTATAACAGCCCGGGTCACTTGATACACCAACCACATGATCTGAAACTGACCGTTTATTGGCTGCTTGGGTAGCAAGTTTACCAAGGTTTCCATTACTTTCTTAGGTCACTGCTCAGAAAGTTATTGTTGTTTTTGTCTTTGTTCATTCTTCAAGCACTAGGTTGGCCTTTTTTTTAATCTGCTAAGGTTTAGGTACATGAAGGATTTTGTCTTTTTACTTTTTTTTCACATTAACGAGGATATTCTCAGAAAAGACCTGAGAATCAATATTATTGTTCTGCGTTCTGATTGGCTCCTGTGATGACAATCAACGAGCGATGGGGCATAACAGATGGTTTAACAGCAGTACTGGCATCTTTATTTGAAAAAAAGATTTATGAGAATTATGGTTCCCATAAAATAATTGTGTTAAGCAATAGACTCGCAAAATAATTTTTGCATTAGAGGACAAAGTAATCTCGCAGACAACTAAAAACGTTGCTGAAGAAACTTCTTTTTGCCTTTACCACACGGAAGTTGCTTTTTAGTTGGATGTGATTTAAATTATCTGCTTTTGTTTTCTGGAATAATAAAATTTGCCCCGTTTCTTCTTATTGACCAAAAAGCAGGAATTCAACAATTCTTTAAGTGCCGCAGAACGACAGCTGCCACCCCTCCGACCCCTCCTAAGTAGCATGGTTTCCATCGTGGAGACCTATGGGATTGCGGTTTGTTACCACGGTAAACAAAGATGGCGGACGGACTGATCAAAAGTTCTCGAAAGACACCTACAAAGTTTGACAATGGATATGAACCGACTTTTGACTCCGATGGCACTCCTACCTGTTTAGGCTGGAAAATCGAAGATGTCGCCGACTGGGTGGAATTTTTAGGGTTCCCACAGTATCGGGTGAGACAAAAATTGCAGTCGAGTGCTTGAAGAGTTCTTGAAAAAACAAGTTTTGCCCTTTTTTTCTCGGATTTATCATTCTTCAAGGCTCATTTCAATCTAAAATATTGAAAAATTCCGAATTATATGAGTAGCTTTTATGATATACATAGAACACTGATATAAAGAGATAAAACAGGCCAGCTGGACGGTCTTACTATCAAAAAGCTGATTTAAATAACTTCTACAATGTTAGTGTTAATCACATTAGGAATTAAAGTTGTTTCATCGATTGTCCACAGGCCTGTTTCAGAGAAAACCTCATAAATGGAAGGAAACTTATAACTGTCGATGCTTCATCTTTACCAAGGATGGGTGTCACAGACTTTGAACACATAAAGGTTTGTGTACAAAGTATCTCCAAGAGAAAATCCTTTTTTTTTCGTCTATCAACCTGGTTTGTCGAACATGTTACCTGTTTTCAGGTGTTCTGTTGACTGCGAAAAAGGTTAATTTAACGAGAAGTCACCCTATTCCTTTAATTCTGAATTTAAACGGAAATCAGCGTGTAGCGTATGCATAGTGTAGCATCTTCCAGCTGCAAATGCTTCCATCAGTAAAACCACGTTTTGGCGTGAACATGAAATGTAACGCTTCAACATGCGATTTTCCCCAAGAACATGCAACAACCTGGACTGTGTTATTTGACATTACATTCGCACCAGTTGCGGTTCAATTGTTCTATCGATGAAAAGTTTACAGTCTTACCCGAGTTTTGTGCTAACCCATCCTGATCTGCTAACTTTAAGACAAACTGAATCCAGAATTTTTAGACTTCTTTCTTTTCTCAGGTAATAGCAAAAAAAGTTCGAGAAGCGTTAGGAATAGAGGAACCTTATTGGAACCGTAGCATCTCTCTCCTGCACAGGGAATCACTTGGACTGTTTCTTGAAAAGAAAAGTAACACTGGTGTAGAAGCAGATCTGTTGACTTTTCAAGATTACAAACGCTACTTGCAGAAACAAGAGCCTAGTAAAAACAACAAAAGATAATGCTTCTTCTAGGGATGTGGCAACCTAGCTTTGCAAGTGTGTATGTAAAACAGTGAACATGCCGTAATTTCAAATCAATTTCGTTTGGCCTAGAAATCATTGGAGATACTTTAGAAATCAGTGCTATTCTCACTATTTACCTCCTACCAGTGAGAAGGAAGGAAGGAGTGAACCAGAGGCTTCTTTAAGCTCCCTTCCTTTCATAATTTGTAACAGATTGTTTTTCAATGCAGGCCTTTTTTTTTTCATCATTTTCACTGTATTCAATGCTCCTATTCTTGTCTTTCAAAGTCGACAACTTGAAAATGCACAACATGTAACATTCACTTGGTTCCAATGTCCTCCAGTAGTGCCTGTAACAGTGAATTGTGAGTGTGGTGGATAGGGCATCCTCTGCATACATTTTCAAGTAAAATAAATTGGTAAGGAAACTTCAACTCCAAGTTTGGGTCTATCTTGCAAAGTTTA